ATGAGTGCACGAAACATATCGAGATCGATTCTCACATTACAAGAGAACGGATCTTAGAAGGTCTCATCCAAATTCATCATCTCTCCACAACTGAGCAGGTTGCTGCCCAAACCTCTTAGTCGAAAACAACATGACTACTTAGTTGGAAGGTTGGGCATGATTAATTTGTATCATGTACCAACTTGAGGGGGGGATATTAAGTATATGTATTAAGGGCTTAAGGGCAGTTGTGTAATTTCTCTTTTACTTGTAAAACGTCAGTAAAGACTTGATTGTATTTGCACGATGTCTTTGTGATGAATAACAGAAACAAAATTTTCCCTTTTCTTCTCTCCAAACACGAATCCAACAGATTGCTTAAATAATAGGCAAAAGGGAAACTTACATAAGAACGATACAATTTGATTGGATAAATTTATTGCATGATACCTGCTCCTAATACCAATCTTCAACACAAAGACTTTTGATCTTCAATTGCGAAACCCCCAAAAAATTATACAGAAAGAAGAAACCTAATTCTTTGCATCAAAAGCTCAATCTTTCCATCGCTCATAACGTCAAGTCCTCCACCTCCACCACCGCAGAGTACTCCTCCTCCACCACCACCACCACCACCACCACTAGCAGGTCCACCACTAAGCCCAACACCAGCACCAACAAAATAGACCATGGCCAAAAGCATAAGAAGATTGTAACTTCTTCATCAGCACCCAAAGCTCAAACCAGTCGCGGAACACACCACCACCACCACCACCACCAGGTCCACCATCACCACCACCACCACCACCACCATCATCAACAAATATCAAAGCCAAAGGCACTAGATAGATCCCTCACCCAACCAAAGCCTAAACTAGCCATGGCATGTGCCATGGCCACCATCAAATCCAGCATCACCGAGGCCACCATCAACTTGGGACATGGAGAACAATTCAAAGTGGTAACAAAAGAAACAGTATTCAAAGGTGGAAAGATAGCTTATAACAATTATTGGTATTCAAGTTCTCAATTTATAAAGGTATAAAAAAAAAAAAAAAAAAAAAACTCTTTTTTCTGAAGTTTATATGTATGTATATAAATTTCCCGTTTAATATTTCTTTAGTTGACCGAATGAAACAAAGTAGATAGTAAATAGGTATCGACGTGAAATTTAAAAGTAGATAGTATCGACGTGAAATTTAAAAGTAAATAGGTATGGGTTTAACTTTAGAGCGACAATATCTACTTGATTAACCATCAATGGGTGGCTGGGTGAGATGGTATGGACTCTTGGATGTATTACTGAAAAGGTCCTGAATTCGATTCTCTTTGGTTGTTAATAGGAATGATCATTGGAGGATTTATTTGGTTGTTAATTTCAGGAGGACTCTGGGAGTTTAGTCGAGGTGTTACTTGATTGAAGTATGGATCTACAAATGCTTTGCCTCTAGACTTTTACAAATTTGTTTTGGGTTCACGCAAACATCTTTCACCCAAAATATTTCTTGTGAATTAAGAGATTGAATTAGGGATTTGGATGTGACATTGTGACTCCATTTTTGCAATAAAATTGTATTTTATCTGTTGATGTGTTATTTTTGGCACCAACTAATTGACACGTGCGTAACGTTGATTGGTCAAGAGACACACGTGATTATGGGTAAAAATGTAGAGTAAATGCAATGAGAGCCTTTTAAAGTGGTTCGGATGCTAAGGTAGCAAGTCCTACGTCCACTGATTTGTATTAATATAGTGGGTCAGGTCGCAACAGCGGACTGACTTACAAATGATTGGCAAAAAAAAGTAAATACAAAGTTATCAGAGAGAGAGAGAAATAATTCCAAGTGTAAAATAGCCGAATCCCCTTAATGAATGGGTCTTCCTCTTTTTATAGTGAGGTGGGTGCAAGTAATCAACAGTAAATCCATGGGTTGGTGTGAATGTCAGGATTAAATCCGGCTTTATGTCACATTTTCCACCTTCTAAACTGATTTCACGCGATTTGGAGCAGAGAAAGGGACACGTGGGAGCTCCATAGCTATTGGCAGGCCTGACGTGTGCTTACCATTCTGACAGGAGTAGGTCACCCCCCCCCCCCCCCCCCCCCCCCCCCCCCCCCCCCCCCCAATCACGTGATTTCCTACGTCAGCCCTTGATGTTCTAGACGTAACATTATCATTTCCTAAAAGTAAATACCAAGTCAAAGTAGAAATTTTCAGGATAGAAATATAATATTTTCAAAACATGGTGACTAACGTAGCCTAAGAGACGTGGTGGGAAATTTCCTAGATTGATGACATCTATGATTCCTTTAAAAATAGGCAAAAAGGGAAACTTACATGAGAAGGGTACAATTTGATTGGAGGAATTTAGTGCATGATACCTACTCCTTGTACCAATCTTCAACAGAAAGACTTTTGATCTTCTATTGCAAAACCCCCAAAAAATTATATAGAAAGAAGAAACTTAATCTTTGCATCAAAAGCTCAATCTTTCAACGCGCATTTATTTAAGGATAGGAATGAAACAAACGCAACCTTAAGAGACGCGGTGGGAAATTTCCTAGATTGATGACATCTTTGATTACTTTAATAAGAGTCAAAAAGGGCAACTTACATAAGAAGTGTACAATTTGATTGGATGAATTTATTGCATGATACCTACTCCTTGTACCAATCTTCAACACCAAGCCTTTATATCTTCTATTGCAAAACCGCCAAAAAATTATATAGAAAGAAGAAACTTAATCTTTGCATCAATAGCTCAATCTTTCCATGGCTCACAACGTCAAGTCCTCCACCTCCACCTCCACCTCCACCTCCACCTCCACCACTACTAAGCCCAACACCAGCCCCAACAAAATCGACCATGGCCAAAATCATGAGAAGAATTTAACTTCTTCATCAGCACCAAAAGCTCAAACCAGTCCCAGAACAGACCCCTCCCTCATCAACGACAAGTATCAGAGCGCCAAGCACGTGGTAGTGGTTGATCTGTCAACCAAAGTGATGCAGGAGCATAAAAGTAAAAAGGAAAGAAATTAAATTAATTTAATTTCAATTATATTGACCTTTTGTTTGTCCCACATGGGAAAGTTATATTTTACTTTTTCACTTGGAAGGCTATAAATAAAGCCTTACTTTGTCCTTGTAATCATCCTTGAATATTATTAAATATATTTAGAGTTAAAGCATTTGTTTTCTCTTCCTTTTTGAGGTTATAGTTATCCTTGGCTTAGCCAACCAATGTGGTCTTTTTTTGGCTATTATCACCATAGCGGGGTTTATTTTAATCTCATCACGATTGGCATCTATAGTGGGGTTTTCAACCTTGCCAAGATTGGGGTTTCTCGCGACATCCCGACGTCATAAAGCCTAGACTAGCCGTGGCACATGCCACGGCCACCAGCAAATCCTCCACCACCGAGGCCACCATCAACTTGGGACATGGAGTAGGACTCAAAGTGGTAACCAAAGAAACAGTATTCAAAGGTGGAAAGATAGCTTATAACAATTAATGGCATTCAAGTTCTCAATTTATAAAGTATAAAAAAAAAAAAAAAAAAAAAAAAAAAAAAAAAAAACTCTTTTTTCTGAAGTTTTTATATATGTATATAAATTTCCCGTTTAATATTTCTTTAGTTGACAGAATTAAAACTGTGTTTGCATATTCACGAGTTGGATGCTGCAGATATGAAGCAATCTTTTGCAGAATCTCTACTAGGATTCATCAGAACTTGTAGTATGTTAGGAGATTATGTTGAGTTTGTTTTTTTTGGTTGTACTTGGTGAACAAAATAATAGAATTATCTCATTATGTTGAGTTTGTTTTTTTTAAGTTTCTAATCCAACGCAATGGCAGGTGAAATTGTAGGGCCATAGAATTTCTCTAGCTCCTTTATTCATTGATCATATTACATTTGAGCCCGTCCACACCTCCACCAAATCATCCACCGTCCACACCTCCATCAAAACCTCCACCTTGGCCAGAACCACGGTGGCCTGGAAAAAAATAATTTATGTACAACATAATCACCTACCAACTTAAAAATTCTCAAATCATTTTTCCCAACTCAAATTCTCAATTGCTCTACTGAAATTAAAATACAAATTTAGATTATTTTTTTAGTAATCCAGTAATCTTATAGAAAGTAATTAAAAAAATACAGCCTAAAGGAAGGGACTCCCTTCCAAGGAAAACACCTTGGGGCAGGCGAAGGCAGCAACAAAACAAGATGCAAAAAGAAACAAAAAGGAAAGTTCCTTTACAATCAAAGGATCTTGTGAAGGAAAGATCCTTTACAAGAAAGAAAACTTACAGACACAAACATAAACAAAGAAAAAGGCAGCATGCCCAAGAGGACCTAATGCAGCGAATCTACAACCAGCACCCAGTAAAACTCTAGAGTCCAGCTATCCACCTACAATCATCATAATACGCAGTGGTTCTCCTCCAAAAACGCAACACGAACTGCAAGCAGAAGAATCAGCCATTTCCTTCACCATTCTGCCTAAGCCTAACCAAACAAAGCAAAAGCAAAACATAGGCATTCATGTGAAGAGCTTCCACAACACACAAGCACATAACTTGGTTTATTCAAGGATTAACTTCACATTTAAACAATAGAAGGGATGTAAAAGAAAGTAGATAATATTAACGTGAAACTTAAAAGTAAATCTGCACGGGTTTAACTTTAAAGCGACAATATCTACTTGATTAATCGTTAATAGGTGGCCGAGTGAGACGGTAAAAACTTTTGGGTGTATTACTCAAAAGATCTTGAATTTGATTCTTTTTCATTACTAATATGGGTGACCATTGGAGGGTTTAGATGTAAAAGAAAGTAGCATTTCTGTGAATGATCTCGTACATCAGATCATGAACTCTGCAACTTCCAACTTGTCCAGAAGCTTTTCTCGTTGAAACTTGAACCAAGCTTCTGTCAATAAGTTCTTTCAAGCATTCTTCGGCGAGTTTTACTAAAGTGACTCAAGTCTTTTTCATTAAAGAAACGACAAAAATCACATTCCTTTCGTCTTTCTGTGAATGATCTCATATATCAGATCATGAACTATGCAACTTCCAACTTGTCCAGAAGCTTTTCTCATTGAAACTTGAACCAAGCTTCTGTTAATAAGTTCTTTCAAGTATTCTTCAGCAACATGCTCAGATGGAAGGTCGTTGTTGCGTTGGACAAAGCCTTCAGCTATCCAAAGGCGAATTAATTTCCCAAATCTAATTTCGCAGCCTTTTGGAAAAGCACCAAAGTATAAGAGACATGACTGGAGATGGTGAGGAAGATCATAATAACCTTTAGACAAATCTCTGTTACAATCACTAAGATGGGAATCACTGCTTAATTTTGAGCCCAAACTATCTAGCATATTTCTCCATTTAGAAACAATCTTGTTTTTTCTTGAGAGAAGCCCACCTATCGCAGCAATTGCTAGAGGAAGACCTCCACATTTTCCAACGACAAGTTCCGATAATTCTGTCAAGTTTGGAGGACAACAGCCGTCAGAGCCAAATGCCTTTCTACAAAGAAGTTCCCATCCCTTCTCTGAAGACAAGGGTTCAAGCATGTGAACATGAACTATTGAGAACGGTACGAATTCAGCAATTGCTTATTCCGTGTGTTAGCATTACTCTACTGTTATTTTTCTTATCAAGTAAAGCATGCTCTACATCTCTTCAAAATTCAATTTTCCACACGTCATCGAACACAATCATGTAACACTTGTCCTTTAAGTGTTCCCTCAACTTCGTGATAAAATCCTTCTCTTCCATTCCATCTGTCTCCATTAGAGTGGACCCTGTTGAACGGTAAAGTGCTCGGAAAATTTTTCTTAGTAAATCTTTCTTCAAGTATTCTTTCCCAACTGTGATCAAAGCCTGGCAATCAAAATGCTTCTTCACCGCATCGTTGTTATAAATTTTCCCAGCAAGAGTGGTCTTGCCTAGTCCTCCTTCGCCTACAAATGCAACCACTGAACGATTGGATGTTCCACTTACCAACAAACCAATCAATTGGTCTCTAGTAGATTCAATGCCCACAAGTTCAGCCTCTTCGATGAAAAAGGCACCAACTCGAGAGTCGTGCGGTACAACATATCCTTCATCTATGTGCCTCAAGTTATAGCGTTCTGCTCTTCTCTATATGTCAGCAAGTGATAATTTGATATGTTTAATCTCAGATGAAATTCGATGACGCACCTTAAGTTCATTGATGAAGCAACGCATTTTACGAAGGAAACCAGAGAGACCTTTGCTATCATGAACATGACGCTTTGCCTCATTAAGTGCGTACTCATCTATGACGTCTTCAATGTGATGAGCTTAGTCCCTTACTTGTTTTACCCAAGTACTTACGACACCTCCATTGCTTTCTCCTTCTTCTTCAGGTGCTGCCCTTGCATCTGCATCCCTGAGGAAAGATCTGATGAACTCCAATTCTCTTTTGATGCTTTCAACATCTTTCTTTACACTTCTCAACGGCTTGGTTTCTTGGGCAAGCAAGGAAGCCAAGGTTTCTATAGCAAAGTTCACTGCAAACTCTGCCATATCTCATAACTTTTTTCTTGTTCACTCCATCTTAATTAAGATGAATGATCTTGAAGGGTAAAACGACACCGTAGGCTTCACATATTTAACAAATGTTTTATTGTTGTGTTACGAAAACAGTGGCTTGGACAGAAGTGTGAACACAATTCTTTAGATGGTTTTGTTGACTAGTAAAACTTTTGGGACTCCGTGAACTTAGTTGTAAACAGCTGGACTTATTAATAATTAATAAAGTTGGAGAAGATGCTGTTACTAATTAATTTGGTTAAGGTTATATTACTATGAAAAACTTGTATCTACCAGATGTTAAAGGAAAATATGGATAAAATATAACATGATATCAAATAATATAATATAGTTCAATTAACATAACAACAAAATTATTATTCTAATATACATAATGGAAAATACTATACTTATTGATTTTGTATACCAACTTTTCAACTTGATTGACGTGAAGTGTGATGTGGGGAGTTTCTAATCCGACCATTTCACATTCCACGTCAGTCAGAATCAGTACCCTTTATAGGGTATATATATAAAAGCATCTATATGATATGAATAATACTGTACATACTAACAAATTTTATTAACTAGTGTACTAACTTTTATTAAAATCACACATAATATCTGTATTATGTGCATGATACCCGTACTATGCTTTAAGTTAGTACACTGATTAGTAAAATCCGTTAATACCCACAGCATTACCCATATGATATTATATATTGCGATGTTGAGTGACATTGTTGGTGTGCATGCCCAAACTACATCAAAATAGTTCTGGATTCAGAAGCAGAATTAGTTTATCAAAGTTGGTTAAGGAAGTTGACGACAGCTATAAGTAGAAGGTTATTTGTTAATAGAAGTATAATCCCGTTAGTTTACTTAAACTCAACAGTACCATTTTATTTGAGTTTGAAAAACATACTTTGAAGATTGAACACACAGAGATCATCAATAACAGTATATATTACACAAGAGCCATACAAAACTACAACTAGACTCCCTCAAATATGTTTCTTGTCAATACAAATAATAGTCGGTGAAATCATTACATCATTGAGTCCACAATTAATATAAGAATCTTTAAGGGTAATTAATTCCACGGAAACAGGGTAAAACAGGGGAGCAGTTTTTTAATTGGTGAAGGTGTGTTCTCAATGCAACAGTCTGAAATGTGTGCAAATGAAGAGATGGAAATTGGTGTTTGAGTTGTCTTAAGATTTAGGTGAATTTGTGATAAGAGTTTGGGAGAAGAAGAAAGAGACTCAGAAAATGAAGAGTTTGAGAGGTTTCTTCCTTTTTCTCTCAACACTTCACTAAAAATAATAAAATGGAAAATGGACATCCAAGAGTCGAGTGTTCTTTATGAAAGATAAAAGAAAAAGTAAAACGGGCACTGTACTCATAAAGCGGAGTCCAGGTAACTGTCTGCAACTTTGGTGTTAACATCGTTGTTGATGGGGTTGAACTTAGCTGAATTTGCCTACAAAATCAAGCACTCAGAACGCTTGTAAAACGACAAACCATACTCATGACTCAAGTAAGATTCTGGCCCGGCTTTTCAGTTTACCCCCGTTTTTTACAAAGTTTTGGGGGTAAACTCTATTTCATTCTCAACAAGATTCTCTAGAATTGATTCAGACCTCCAGATGATGAGAGCATGGATATGGGAAATATCTTAGCTAATTCATTTATTCCCTGATATATGGGGAAGAATTTCCAATCCGAAATTCGGACTAAACGTTCTCGGATTGAAGTTTTGGTTTCTGTGCATGGAAATTGCTAATCTCCCCATGAATCCATGATAACTTCAGTGATACTTCATATCATTACATTTACTGCAAGGGATAATCTTCTATAATGTCATTTCGGTTAGACCTTTTATTGCAGAAGATGTTCAAAATGAAATATGTGGATGGGAGAAATTTGTGAGGACTCTGTTAAAAGGGAATAGAGGAAAACAGGGGACTCTATTTTATTGGCGAAGCTTTCCACAAATCTTTACGATTCATCGACCTTTTAATTGAAAGGGTAAACCAGTTAATACTTTCTTTTAACTTTCCTTAACAAATTCCCTTCGAGTTGAGGAGGGCCTTTCCTTTTCAATTGAAAGTCTATTGAACCGAGGATCAGCATGTCTTTAGCACATATACATAATCTGTTTGATGATTTATCAAGCATACCATTGTTGAAACGCCGAACTTGTACCATATTAAGCTCTTACAACGATTAAAAAAAAGAAAGAAGTAGCAAAAATATTTTCATTATAATCTTCTATGTTGAAATTCTTCATAAAACTTTGGGGAAAATTTTGCGTTTCTTTGAAATTTTCTATGCTGAAATTGTTTTGCAACCGGTGAAACTAGAAACAAGATCTGGAAAACAAGCAGTTCAATGATAAATTTCTGAATAGCAATAATTTCAACATCTATTAAGTCCCACATGAAAAGAGAAGGTCAAGTGAAAAAGTCGAATGCAATAAATAACAATTACCAGTATGTTTGAAGCTAATCGCTTCAAGTTCAGAGTAATCTCCAATGCAGACTCCCCAGTAGAAGACTCAAAACTAAATCGGTCAGCATGTCTCACCTTGAGCCTTAGTGATCAGCTCTCATACAACTTAACTTCTGAGTGCCAAATCCCACTAACACAGTATTGAACCCTCGAGTTTGACTTCCCTAGGGGTCATCTCAACCACCCTTCACTCCTGGATCCAAAACAGCTGAATTAATCAGATTTCTAAGGCTCTGCATTTCTTCCTCCTAGAAGAACGCATATAATCAGTTTGATCATAGATGTCATTCTCAGGGATAACTGAAACAGCTATAAACTAAAAGATTGGATAGATACATGTCGTTTTTTATGGGAGTCTGAAAAGATAGACTCCCACAAAAAAAGAAAAAAGAAAAAAAAAAATCAAATAAGGAACCTCATTGTACAAAGCAAAAGCATTAAAATTTTTTAAGCCTACGAGTTGGCAATTAAAACTTTGATTCTGATGATTTTGTTTTTTACTTCAACCATTTGTTAACTTTCATGATGTCTAGAGAGAAAACTCTCATAGATTGTAATCCTCAGTGAAAAGTTATTATATATATGACTGTATGTTTACATCTTTGAGCTTTGTCTTGTATTTCTTCTTTCTTCATCCCTTAGAAAATAGACTTTGGCCAGATAAAATCAAGTTAGAGAACGAAGATTCCCTTCTACTGCTTTAAAGTTGTTTTAGTAACGACAAAGATAAAATTAACATGATTAAAAGAAGGACAAAAGATAGAAACAAAGTTATGCTAAATTATTCTACCTAAAGCATCTAATGCTTAGGGTTGCACATTAACTTAAGTTAGTGACAACACTCTTGGTCCATAGCATCAGCCTCAGGTCTAAATTCTTATCCACGCATGATATGTCTATGGCCATTTGACGAGCATGGTTTGGCTCAATCTACAAGAAAAATATCTCTGATTGAGCATGAGGCTATACATACAAAATAAAGATAAATTTAAAGTGAATATAAAATATTTTTGGCAATTCCAAATATAAATAAACAAATGAATCCAATGAGGTACTTAAAATTTCTTCATGTCCCTGATATATTACCCAGATCCAAATCCCATGAAGCAAAAGGCACTCTTAAAGAAGGGCAAATTCAAGTTGGTTCATAATCAGCAAGGTTTTTGCAATTTAACACTCAGGATCACACCTGTAATGGTATATATACTTTGGTTTATATCAGGGCTTCTTACTCCTGTATAAGCAAGTCCTTTACAAACAATTCAACAGAGTTGAAAACTATTTCTTTTTTCTTCTTCTTTTAATGGTGAATTCCATTTAAATGTTTCTAGGAAGACTTCAGAAAAGGTTTTAATCAGATTCTAAAAATATCTATCCTTATCCTGTTTCATCTTTTCTTGTTTATATTATAGTAGTACCATCACTTTTTACATCAAAATTCATCTCACAAACTCAGTTCAATCCATTGTCTTTTTATTCAAAAACATACATATAGGTACCG